TTGAACCGTTATTTGATTACTGTTAGTTCCTGGCATGTTTAGGAATCGTGTTCGAACTTATTTGGTGTGATTCTTGATTTAATTTCGTTAATTGAATACGTGGTGTTGTCGTTATGTGTTTAAATATGTTTGGATATGGTTTCGGGTTCCACGAGAGATCCCGGAACCAAAAGTTTCCTGTGTATCAGTGGAGGGTAGGTGGGGGGACTGACCACCCGCCACCTACCCGCTGCCCGTAGACACTGTTCCAGCGGGTAGCCGACGGGCGGTGGTCTGCCCGCCGGCCACCCGCTGAAATAGTACCCGGCCGCCTACGGGTGGTCCTCCACCCGCCACCTACCCGCTGGAAACCCGGCGTGGTTCGTAGTATTTTTCCGCATTTGATGTTTCCCCGTGTCCCGTTGTACCCCGTTTGTCGTGTATGAGTCTCGTTTGGTGTTTTAGGCATCGTTCTAGGATTTTGTGTGTGATACGTGTCGTTGTTGTTGTGTATTGCCTGTTATGTGATTATGTGTTTATTGATTGATGATGATGAGTATCGTGGTCATTGTGCAATGGCCAGTGTGACTGATGATGATGATTATGATGATGAGATTGTGATTGGTGGAAAATAAACTGTTGGCGGTTGGAACCACTTGTACCCGGTCATTGTACTAAAGGTACAGGCCATAGCGGTGACTTTGCTAAAGGCACACACCCACCTTAGACTTGCTTGCCGTTGAGCATGGGTCATGTTATAAGTGATGCGGTATCATGTTAGAGCTATATGCGCTAACCCCTTGATATTGGCACTAGAGGTGCGGATTATTGAATGGCACTGTGGCACCATCTTGATATGTTGGTGGTTGAAAGGTGGTTTGACGGTGGGGGCATGTAGTTCACTACTACAGAAAATAGCTTGAACTTCGGCTAAATGACCCCATTTAACGTCGGCTAACCTACGACATCGACTAAAGAGACGTTGTAAGAAAATAAACGATGTCGGTTATTTAACCGACGTCGTATGTTTTTTAAAATTAAGAAATAAATATACGACGTCAGCTAAAAGCCTATTAGCCGACGTCGTATATATATATATATTTTTAAAAAGTACATACTTACGACGTCGGCTAATATTGTAACACCCCGTGTTACGGCCTCTAAACCAATTAATTATTTAATCATTTACCCAAAAGAAAGAATTAAATTTCATTAATTAATTAAGAAGAGTCCACCATAAGTCCATGGACCCTTATCCCTATAACCAATCCCTTAGTCCTATAGGAAATAGAATTAGCAAACCCATACCATTTAGACCCTAATTGGGACTCTTAGATATATAAATAGGGACATAGGAGGCACCTAGAACTCACACCACAATAACTTTCACCACACAAGAATTTCCAAGAATTCCCATAGGAGAAATCAAGAAAGAAGAAATCTTAAAGAAAGACCCTTCATAGCCAAGGAATTTAATTATGGCTAAGAGGTAACCCATGTCTCAACAAAACCTATTTTCTTTGCTATAATCTTCTTCTTTGGCTTCCTCTATATGCTTGTGTCTTGATATGATAATTGTGATGTGATCTCGATGATTGATGAGATGATTCTATGTATGATCTTGATAATCTTGATGATGATAAGAGGATCTTGATAATTGTGTGTTGATTCTTGGTAAATCTTGATGTCCTTGATTTTAAAGATAAAGTATGATTTTGTGATTTAAATATGATTAGAGCCCTAGGTTGAATTGGGAATTTGTATTGTAATGTTCTTGATATATATATTTGGGTGGGAATTCGCATGCTCGGGTGTTGTTTATGTTTAGAAGTCATGATGGGATGTGTTCTATGTGATTCTTGCTTTTGATCCATTAATTGTCAACGTGGTGTCGTTATTTGCGTTTAAAAGTGTCTAAGCATGGTTTCGGGTTCCACGGAGGATCCCGGGACGTTTATGTTGATAAAGAGTCAGTGGGGGGTAGGTGGGGGCAGGGGGACCCGCCACCTACCCGCTGCCCAAAGAAGACGCCGCCGGCAGCGGGCAGCCGACGGGCAAGCAACTGCCCGCCGGGCACCCGCTGCCCGGAGGATTATCGCCGGCGGGTGGCCCCCCACCCACCGGCTACCCGCTAGTCGTCGCCCACCTCAGGACTTTGGCTTCCCCTTTTGATGTTCCCCAACCCCCGTGGTGTCCCAACGGACTCCGTTTGTCGTGCATGAGTCTAGTTTGATGTTTCGGGTACCATTCGTAGGATAAAAGAGTCTTATGTATTGCATGCTAGTTGAATCGGTAACCCGTTGGCCTAGGAGGAAGATGCATGAACCCCTTAGGACTATTCTTAGTAAGTGGATGATCACGCATAACTTTATTTATACGCCTTCCCCCTTCCCAATGTGCTAATATGTGCTACTATGTGTTATGTGAGCATGATACCCCAATTTGGTTGCGATCAAATTGGTTATTCCTGAGCTGCGGTTCAGAAGTTGGCTGCGGTCAAATTGGTTACTCATGAGCTGCGGTTCATTCTCCTGGCTGCGGTCAGTGATTCACTTCTTGGGCTGGAGTCCACATGGGCCTCGTGTGCTATGGTCCACCGACTGGATGCGCCAGGCGGTGTGTAGGGCCACTAGCCCGAGGAAGGCCATAGCCCACCGAATGAGTGATTAGGCGGTGTGTAGGGCTCTAGTCGGCTGCGATCCACCGAGTGTATGGCCCAGCAGTGTGTAGGGTCGTAATCCCCGAAGATCATTGCCCACCGAATGAGTCCCTCAGGCGGTGTGCAGGGCTTTGATCGGCTACGACCCACCGACTGAGCTCGTCAAGCGGTATGTAGGGTCGCAGTCCCCAAAAGAGGATCACAGTCCACCGACTGAGCGCGTTAGCGGTGTGTAGGGCTGTGATCCGCCGTTGAAACTATCGACAGTTTATACGGTTGGTTGCAATCAACCCCTTCATGCTGCGGTATGAGGTAGGGTGCTGCGGGGCCGTGTTAGAGCTATATGCGCTAACCCTCATGTTCGGGGCATGCGATTGGTCCCGTGGCGCCACCAAAGTGTGCTTGTGTGACATGAATATGGATTGAATAATGATGTGTATGATTTGAAAGTGAACTGTGACCTTAGATACGTGTTCTTTATGATATTATCTCTATATAACTGATTATCCTTGTTTAACGTGCTCATTCCTACTTGTTGAGTCTATTCCTGATTTTAAAGCTAGAGTCTCCTAAGTATATATCTTCCTGCTTCAAAATGGTTTTCGTATATATATATATATATATATATATATATATATATATATATATATATATATATATATATATAGGGTGCGGATCCCATGAGACCCCTATACTAAAATGAGATGGTGAGATGACATCTCATCCAATAGTACATTTGTAATGGATGGATGAGATTGATTTAGGAATGTAATGTAAAATAGGGAATATTATTAATAGGAGGGTTTAAAAGTAATTGTATTAATGTGTTAATTTTGGTTATAATGTGATTAGAATCTTTTCCATAATTAAATATCACAAGTATAATAGAAATGATTAGTTGTCAACTATGCACAGAAGTTGTTGGAGCCCAACCGTGAGCAGTAAGAGGGTGTTCCGGACGTAACTTCAATCGACGAACATGTCTCAAACCACAGGTAAGAGATTTGCAGACTCAATTTTTGTAATGTGTTTTGTACAGTGGTCTGTGCAGCCAGGTTGTACGCGTGTGCTTCGTTTTGTTTGTTCGGTGTGGGAATTGTTATGTGTTGGTGGATGTATTTATATTAATATGCGAGGGGAAGACGCAGCATTTAGCGGGTTTGTGTGTGTTTTTACTGGAGTGGGTGGGATTTGGTTTGTGGGTGAATTTAGGTTTGTGCGTTCGTTTAATGCGGCGTGTGCACCTTACCCATCCGAATTAGAATGGTTATGCTTGAATTTAAGTAATTGGTTTGTAAAATTAGTATTATAATGGGTGTGCGTGAAATCATGTGATGCATTAATTCCCAATATAGTAGAGTTTATGGCTGTTATTTGGATAGTGCATGCAAGTAGGTCTGTGTGTTTTTGTAACGTCGGTCTGTGCGTTAGTTCACGTCGGTATGTGTGTTTTTATTATTGTATTACATGGCATTCGGTGGACGACCAGAGGGTGTATTTCTACAAGGTGCGTTGTCATGACGTGCAATAAAATGATTTTGATTAAATGTGACTTTCTTCAAAGGTATGGCAAGTATTTTTATAATAATGGATGGCAGTCAGTAAACGGGGAATCGGGTTTGTGCGTTAGTTCCCTACGGCATGTGCGTAAGTGTATTATATGCGGTCTGTGCGTTATCACGAATAAGATATACAGTTCATTACAATTATCTAATGCAATGATTGTGTTGATTGTATGCAAGTGAATATTATATTATTCATAACATCTTATGGACTAATGTATTGGTGTGTTACTTATAGACAACGTTGAAAAATATGTTGAGGAGAGGGATTGTGCTACGGAGGTACCACCGGGTAGCACGATGGTTTAGATACCAGAGTGTGATCCATGTCTGAAACCATTTGAAGGACAAGTATTTGAGTCATTAGATGCCGGGATTGATTTCTATATACACTACGCGGCAAACGCCGGATTTGATGTGCGGCGCAGTTCTGATGAAAAGAACAAATACGGAACAATATTGAGAAAGCGATTGGTGTGCTCTCGAGAAGGTTTTAAGGGGCCGACTGGTATAGCAGCATGTACAATTGAAGGACCAAAACAACAAAAGCGGCAACATACGACTAACAGAGTAGGGTGTCGGGCGATGATCGCATTCAAACTGTGTATCGGGGGGGGGGGGGGGGGGGGGGATACGAAGTAAAAGGTTTCAAAGAAGAACACACGCACAGTTTGTGCAAGGATAGATATAAACCGTTCATGAAAGTGAATAGGAAGCTAGACATTGGACACCAACAATTCATAACAAACTGTCTGAAAGTCAACATCGGATCAAGTAAGAGTTTTGATCTATACGCAGAGATGGTTGGTGGTGTCGCTAATGTGGGAGCTACTAAACAAGATTTCAAGAATTACAAGAGAGAGATGTTGGAATTCATGAGGGAGGGAGATGCACAAATGGTAATATCAAAGTACCTTGCAAAGAAAGCAGATGATAAAAATATGTTCTTCGAATACGAAATGAATGAGCAAGACAACTTGGCCCGACTGTTTTGGGCGGATGGTGTGGCACGGAAAAATTACGGAGCATTCGGTGATGTCGTGTCATTTGATGCTACGTATCAAACAAACAGGTATGTACCGGTTTAATGGTTTGTCATTAAGAATATGAATCAAATAAAACATTAATTAATATTAAGCAGATGACAAACGGGTTGGAAGTCTGAAATTAATACGGTGTGTGCGTGACTATTTTGAGGCTTGTGCATTATGCTGGTTCAGCATTTAAAAACACGTCATCAGTGTAATGAGTTATTTATGTTGGTGGCAGGTACAAGCTCGTTTTTGTTCCATTCACAGGCGTAGACAATCATAAGAGATGTGTAACATTTGGCGTAGGAATGATCGATAGGGAAGACGTGGAGTCATACCGTTGGATCCTACAGAAGTTCAAGGATGCAATGGGAAGTATACCCCCGTTGACCGTAACTGATCAGGATCCGGCGATGAAGGTGGCAATTGCAACGGAGTTCCCCAGAACACAGCATCGTTATTGCATGTGGCATATCATGACAAAGGTGGGTGATAAAGTTGGTACTGAGATGGCACAAAATGGTGAATTCCGGCGTGCACTAAATGCTGTTGTATGGAATGAAAAATCAACAATCGACGAATTTGAGAGTACATGGGATGCAGTTATTGGTAAATACGGGCTAAGCGACAACAGGTGGCTGAAGCGTATGTATGAAGACCGTGCGTCATGGGTGCCTGCATTCTTCGATAATGTGTTCATGGCAGGCCTTTTGAGGACGACTTCACGTTCTGAATCGGAGAATAGAGTATTCCAAAGAAATAGTAATAAGCACCTATGTCTGGTTGATTTTTGGAACAGATTCGAGACTGCAGTAAAGACACAGCGTAACACACACCTTGAACTAAGCGCAGCGTGCGAGGGACAAACCCCACCTTTGAAGACCTCATTGCGTATAGAGCGAGAAGCAGCATCGGGGTACACATTGAAGGTTTTTTACGAAGTGCAGGAAGAAATCTATGCCGGTTGTTATACATGTCGAGTGCGATCAATAACAGAAGATGAGACATCAAAGACATATGTTGTTGTGGACGGGAACAAAGAGACATACACGGTCATACTTGAATATGGAAGCAACACCACGACATGCACCTGCCGATTATACACAAGGATTGGACTGTTATGCCGACATGTTTTTGTTGTTTTGAAGAATGAACAGATAATTCAAATACCTCCACAACACATTACTCCCAGATGGACCCGCGAAGCAGGAATATACACAAATCCCGATACAACCAACGAGAGAGAGGAAGGCGAAGAGAGTACACCACAAAACAACAAAGATGAAAGTAACCTAATTAATGCATTCTACAAATATTTAGCCATGGCACGAGGGAGGGCCGACAAACTTCGACAACTGACTGATGTGATAGAAGATTTTCAAGGGCAAATGCGCGAGGATGGACAGGAAGGGAGTACAGTAAACGGGAAACAGGCGGTTATGGAAACATATTGTGGTGTGCCAGCCCCAAACACAATCGTAGTGCACCTCCCAACGGTGGCAAATACGAAAGGGTCTGGGAAGCGAATGAAATCAGTGAAGGAGCTGGCAATGGCGGAGCAAGTAAAGAAAAAACGAACGTGCAAAACTTGTGGTTTGGAGACCGGGCATAATAGTAGGAGCTGCTCACAAAAGCAGTGATGATTATATGTGGTTAGAATTGAACGCACAAAAAGGGAAAAATATTTTAAATAATGATTTTTATCCAGAACATATGGTTATGTTTGATATTCGCGTTGTGTACACGAAAGTGTGAGTTAAATTTGTTGAGAGTGAAATGTGAACAAATGATAGCGAATTGGATAATGGACAGGATGACGCACAAGCGTAATAAGTAGCACGCACCAACAAGTATGGGATTACAGTATGGCGCACACACCTCACACCAAGAACGCACACTGCATCACAATATGCAATGTGACGTAAGTAAAAGCTAAGGTGTATTCGATCGATATGATACGAATTAAATGGCGAATACTTAGTGTATGAAAATACAAAGCAGCCAATATATATATATATATATATATATATATATATATATATATATATATATATATATATATATATATATATATATATATAATGAATCAAAAAAAATGAAAACAATCATCCAAAAGTACAATTTTGTAACAGAAATACGCACAAACGTCACACCACAAACGCACGCACATGAAAATGAAAACCGAGCAATATTTAGACACCCGCATTATCTGGGACGGAACTGTTTTAGTACGATGAATAAATTAGTACTGAGTAACGACTAATGCGGGCAACGTACATGGGTAATAGTTGCTGCAATGAATGCATTGATACTTAATTATGTAATCGTGTGGACAAATAGAAGCTTAATCATGTGGGAAATTAGTGCAGATGGAGGTTTGTGCATGAAAGCAAAATAGCATAACACAAAAATGACACTTAAAAACAAAAAAATAGCACGAGTCTAACAACTGTATTCGGCATTGTTCATCTAACAAACGGCATACAGTCTAATAAACCAGAAAAACTGTAGAACGTTGTCAAAAGCAGGAATAAGTGCAGAGATTAAACATAAAGTGTCTGTAGCAACGGACGATGTTTCACCGATCAATGGGTCCAGACCCCAAGGCAGCGTTGATATTTGAAACACGATGTGAGTTACCATGAAAAAGTAGAATGTCATACATGAAGCGAACGCGAAGGGAGGCCAACGCCCGTGCATCACCTCTACGTAGACCGCAATCCCACGAAGCATACGATTGCCCAACATACGACTCAAGGTGTCGCATTGCAAACACACCGCAATCCAACTTGTTTTTTCGCATCACGCCAAGGGATACGAACCCTACGAGGAATTAATTCAGTTACCTTCATATATAGAGCGGAAACCCCGACATCGTCAAAAACACAGAGAGCAAATCATGCTGCAAAAATAACTAAATGTTAACAAATTATACACAACAAGTGGTAGACAGCCAAGTACAAAAGAGCAAATGCTACTTGTAACGTACCAGGACCATGGGGGTGACGCCATATTTAGCTAAAGACAGATCATCAGCGGAGGAATTATCAATGATATCAAACCTCACGCACTGGCATAACACTTAAAACGCACCAACCAAATAGCAAATACAGAATTACGCACAGACGTCACTCTAAGAATGCATACACCAATTCCTAGTACAAGATACGGTGAACAATATATATTATAATAAATGAGAACATGACAAGCCAATCAAGATTAAAGATACCTTGCATACCAAAAAAAAAAAAACAAAAAAAAAATATATTTCGGATACCTAAAACAAAACAAACATTAATGAACCCCATCAAATATGACCAACAAAACGCATACACTTCAAATATAAGATTACGCACAAGCCTAGAACGTATAACGCATCAACGAATTAGTAATCACTTTATTACGCACAAACCTCATACGAATAACGCACACTACTTACTACTACCATATGCTTCACAATATTCGCAGAAATGCTCAGTTGCAAAGGACAGATGATACAGTCGAATGAAAATTCAAAACAAAAACAAGAGCCAATTACAACAAATATAGCAAATACAGAATTACGCACAAACGTCACTCTAAGAATGCACACACCATTTCCTAGTAAAGGATACGGTGAACAGTATTATAATAAATGAGAACATGCCAATCGAAACACGATTAAAGATACCTTGCATACCAAACAAAAAAAAAAACACAAACACACAAAATAAAGTTCGGATACTTAAAACAAAACAAACATTAATAAACCCCAACAAATATGTCCAACGAAACGCACACACTTCAAAATAAGATTACGCATGTGATACCCCGTAATTTTTTTATAATATTATGTTGATTTAATACCCTCCGAAATTAATTTGAATGATCCAAAATTATGTTAGCCTACTATTAAATTATTTTATTATATATTATGTGACCCAAAAATATTTTTGAAATTATTTAATTAATATATTTTTCAATGATATATACTTATGCTTATAAATAAACATATATTATTTATATGCAAACATATGATATATATGTTAATGTGTTACGGATGTACATATATATTAAATATGTTAGTACACACTGTTTTGCTATATATAATAAGTATGTAATCTAATCCTCCTCATAATCATCCTAATCCCATTTAATATGTTTCTTTCTGTTACACAACTCTAATCCCATATATACCTATAATCCTAATCTTGCTATAACTCTAATCTGATTATGTATTTTTCTTATCCTAAATATTTTCCTCTATCAATTCTCACCAATCATCTTCTCGCCAAATAGAATAAAGAATAAAAACAAATTAAACGTTAGTCTCCTCCTTCATCAACACAGTCCGGTCCTCCATCATCATCATCATCATCAATTATAGCTCGTAGACGAGGGTCGATGAGTATAGGTGTTTCGGATGTGCACTGAGTATTTCAACTTTTAATTAGCCCGGGTAAGATTTATGTTCACTAAAATCCTTTTACCCCAAATCAAAAATTGATTTTTCTAATTGTTTATGTGATTCATGATTTTGAAAAAAATTGATGATATTTAGTGTTGTAAGTTATTTGATTATATCATGTAGATAGATATATGAGTTTACTCAGTTTAGATGTGTTGAAAACCCTGCATATGTGATATGGTGATTTTGTGGTGATTAAAAAGGAAAAATTTTTACTCAATCTGATTATTGCCTGTGAAAATTCTGACTGGCGCAGCTGGAAAGAAAAATTCGTGAAAAATGCTTCCTAAACTTGTTTTTGCTTGAATGTTTTAATAGAGAACTTAGACTTGTTATAATTGATGTTTGTAAAAAGTTTGGGTTAAAAATATGTTTCGATATTTCCAGAAAAATTTCGTAAAGTGGAGGCAGTGTGCTGCCAGTTCAATTTCTGTCTGGCGCAGTGTTGGGAAATAATTCGGGAAAAATACTTTTAGACCTTGGATTGATTTGAGACTTTTTGTGTATAATCTAGACTCAATGTACCTTGTATCTGGAAAATTTCATCTGAAAATGTGTTACCAATATATTTCTATAAATTTTGCAATTCATGTCATACCTTCGGAAAATTTCTGTCAGTTCCTTATTTGAGGTGTTGAGAATTTGTTTGCTTGAGAAATATCAGTAATGTTGTCAATTTTATAAAGATTGAGGATAAAGGAAATTTATTCTTAAGACTTGTGTAGTATCCTGTTGTGAAATTCTGGATACTTGGGTTATGACCCAGTTTGTTGTGGAGTGAGCGGTTGAATATACCGACTCACTAGGGAGCTTAAAAACTCTCTGTTGTTTTGTGGAGTGAGCAGTAGAAACATATCCTGTCTCACTAGGACTTTTAGTCCTGTTGTTTTGAGGAGTGGTTAGCGGAGTCTACCACTTGGTTATTTACCCTGTTGAGTAGTAGTCAGTAGAAACGTATCCTGACTACTAGGACTAGTTACTACCCATTGGGCTTGGAAACCCATTGGGGGTGTGCACACTTAAGGTATTAGTTCTGTTCCACTTTATTGGGATTTTTGCGCAGTGTTCAGTAGATTTATTACTGTTCACTAGGGCTTATTGAATAAGACCCTGCCCATTATTTGGTTGGTTTAAATGGAATTTTTGAGTAGTGTTCAGTAAAGAGAATTACTGTTCACTAGGGCTTAAATAATTAAGACCCTGCCCATTATTTGAGATTGAATGGGATTTTGTGTAGTGTCCAGTAGAGTGATTACTGTTCACTAGGGCTTGATGAAACAAGACCCTGCCCATTTTGTTGGAATTGGTGTTCCTCCATGTTGGAATAAATATATTACTTTTGAAAGGTTCCTAAAATATCCATTGTGAGAACTACTGATTTGGTATTAAAAATTATGAGTATTGTTGGGAAATTATGGTTGTTGGAAATTCTGAGTATTTCATATTTGAGTTATGTTCTATATGATTATGCTCTATTGATGATAAAAGATTAAATGTTTAAAGGGTCTATGCTTTATGCCAATTATCTGCTCCTATGTACTATGTGCAAAATGTTTTACGGGGTGAAGTAGATCTTACAAGCTTAATGCTGAATTTGTGTGATTCTTTGTTTTCTGTTCTTTAATTGTTTTTGCAGGAACTCTTGCATGAGCATTGGGCATGAGAATGAGCGAACCACCTAGATATATCATGTATTAGTTAGACATTTGAATTGTTAGTTGTTTTTGTACTAATACATATTTTGGGTTGTTTATTGAAGTTGTATTATTAGCCTTAGCGTTTGGGTATAAGAGAGATACCTGAGCGTGGCGGTAACACCCATTTCTTTTGGTTAGTTAATGCTTCCGCTATGTAATTAGTGAATTTTTCAATTAAGAAAGTATAATTGTAAGGAAAATTTGGTATTGAAAATGGGGGTGTTACAACGCACAAGCCTAAAACATATAACGCATCAACGAATTAGTAATCACTTTATTACGCACAAACCTCATACGAATAACGCACACCACTTACTACTACCATATGCTACACAATATCCGGTGAAAATGCTCAGTGGCAAACGACAGATGAAACACTCGAATGCAAATTCAAAACAAAAACAATAGCCAATTACAGCAAATTATGCAGAATCATTCAACCATTTAAGCTTGATATATACAAATTAAATAATAAATTACTCAAACGGGTGGACAAAAATTGAATATAATATAAAATAAGAAAAAACATGAATAAAACACAGTGAACAACAGCCGAAAGTTTAGAAAATAAGAAAACAAAATAAACAACCTGCCAATTAATTCGTTTATAAAAAATAGATAATATAATGCCGCCCCTCCAATTAACGTTGCTATTCATCCTACTATATCCACTTCTACACCGCCACCACACCGCCACACCACACCATTATCTCCCACCGCCGTCGACAACCCATCCCACCGCAAAAAACCCAAAGGCCGGGTACATACCTACCTGGCGAACAAATTAAAAACCCTACTACCCCAACACCGCCACGCCGCACCACCACAACCACAAACCATCCCCTGCATCCCACCCCCCCCCCCCCTCCCGGAAAACCCCACACGGGCCAAAATCCCACCGGAAAACCCCACCCGGACCAAAATCCCACCGGAAAACCCCACTAGAAAACTAGATACCCACCCAAACCCCCGACCACCATCGACAACCCATCCACCGCAAAAAAAAAAACCAAACCAACCCCTGCATGCCCCCACCCCACCCGTTCGAAAACCCCATCCCCCATCCCCCGGAAAACCCCACCCAGACCAAAACCCCACCGGAAAACCAGATACCCACCCAAAAAATACAAGGAAGTCGAAATACCTTGAGTAGACTTGGAAGAAGTACCCCTCCGACGCTTAACATTCCTGCTAGAAAAACCCGCCATGTTCACCACCCACTTGTGCGACTAGAACAGACCGGAAAACGAGAGGACGACACCACTGGGACACCGCTACCGTCGGATTTGGAGAAGCCCTTGAGAGACGCAGGAGGAGAGAGGTGACAGACTCTGGAAGTGAATCGACAAAAGAAATACGAAGAGTCCAATCGCAATTAAAAATCTTTAATTGGTATCATCCCATAAATAACACACGTATAAACCCCCCAAGCACGCTATAATTATGGAATCTGAAATAATAACACAAGCAAAAGACCACAATGTCCCTACCTCCTTTACTAAACATCAGAAAATGGGATTCAAAAACAAAAGATCCAAACCGTTAAAAAATAAAAATAAACGAACCAGATTACATCTCACCGTCTCATCAAAATATGAGTCTCATTGGACCCAATATATATATATATATATATATATATATATATATATATATATATATATATATATATATATATATATATATATATATATATATATATATATATATATATATATATATATATATATATATATATATATATATATACCTATATTGTATTTCAACGCGTTGGAGTGGGTTACTACCATCATTCGCTGAACAGATATATTTGGCTTTCAGGCACAGATAATTAGCTTCCGGAGCACGCTAGAAGATCTTGGATTAGATAGATAGTTTTCCTTTCGGCCTGCGTGCCATGATGATGTTTCAAGGATATTTAGTTAGTTT